TAATGGGTCGCCGTCCAGTTATGTAATTACTTCAATATTTTCGACCTATCTTTATATGTAGCAGAACCATCGATTCCTATAACTGGAGGGGAAAAGAGGCCTGGATCCGGTTGTCAAGAACATGGTGGTATTGGCGGATTTTGGTGCTCAAAACTTCTGCTGTAAAAAATATTTTCAATATTCATTCTTTTCTGATTTCTCAAAAACTCTATATAATTTATAACCAGTAAAAAATAACTAAGATACAGCGTAACGTTTGAGAATGCTTCAGCATTGTGTGAAAAACACAGTACATACATGCATCAAAAATCAAGAAAATCTACGGTAAGGAATAGAATATTTTAAAATTTGATCTATTTATGATATTTAGCTTTTCAAAAGTGAAAAACAAACGACCTTCTTTAGTAGGTCTGTCAATGTTGTGAAGTTTCTACATAATTTCATGCTACTGTGTGTTTGACTGTTTGTAAACAGTTTGGTGTAACTATTTCTCTTGCTAAAATGGATAAATCTTTATTAAAAGGCCTCAAATAGAGCGAGAAAATGTTTGCTTTAATCCTACGATATAAGTCAACTGAAAATATACCATGGATAAGTGTGTATTTATCAGCTGATAAATTTACTGAAAACTTATAAAACTTAAAAAACTTTTAGAACCAAGTTTTTTCCCTTGTTCTGCACTTGTCTGCTGTCGAATTTGTTCAGGGACAGATGTGTTGGATATATTTCATTGATAAATGATAATTAACGTACAGATTTTCGAAGAAGAAGAAGTAAAAACACAAAATTACACTGACGTATTCTGCACAACGCCAAAATACGTTACCTGACGTATTCTACGGCACAAGACGGTAGGCGACGCATGCGCACAACAACAAAATAAGAGAAATTTTTCCGGTGCCCCGTTTTTGGCGTTCCCGTCGTTCATCTTAAGTTCGCTATTAAAAAAGGGGGGCTCAAATTTTATGATACCAGTGACTGAAAAACCATTTACGTTGAAGGAGTATAAAGATGAGCTTGGGAGGCCATACAATAGACTCACTTTGTGTGTTTGCAAACCAGAAGACTATCTTGGCAACGAAAGTTTAGATGAAGATGATGACAACTTGTCATTACACCAGGTCAGTTCATCAATTATGCTGCACACACTTAAAACACTTATGTGAAGTCCAGCAATATCTCAACTTCCATCTACACCATTCAACCCCAACTTAAGGATTTAGATGACATGTATGCAACAGTGCTTTTGGAGGAAACAAATTCTGATTTTATTGAGATTGATGCTGTGGCTGAAGTTGTAGAAGCAAATGATAAAGTTACAGAAGAAGTAACATTGACCGAGGTCTTAGCAAAACTCTCTCAACAAATATTTTCTGAAACTTATGGCAAGGAACCAAATCGAGCCATAAACAGAATTTCCTTCGCCCCAAAGCATAGCTTATCCGCAAATTTTACTGATGATATTTGTCAATATGAAGGGGCTGTTGATATGGGAGGTTGAGCAAGGAAATTTTTCACCCTAATGACAGAATGGTTGCTTGATTCTCAAATTCTCTTTGGTGAGCATAAATCAAATTTCTTTCAATGAATGCAACATCGACAGTTACAATCCAGTTTAGGAAAATTACTGGAAGCTGCTAGTGTTGATGATGCTCAATAACTCATCACGGATGAAAAGTTGGATGGCATGTTTGATATAGCGGGCACAATGAAAGTGAGCAATCAAAAGATGATGTGAAAAAGTTGTCCAGTCCACAATCAATTGGTATATTTTAAGAAGATGCGAACCATAATACACCAGTTTCAAGGAAGGCTTGAATGCTTTGGGTGTTACGGAAGCCATATCTGTTCACACAGAGTTATTCCGAGAAGTGGGGCATTGGGGCTCTGAGGAGGGGTAGCACCTTTGGTGTCTGGCTGCTGCACTCTACCTGGTAGGGTGGACGGGCATCACTGGTCCCCACTCATCCCTAAATCTCTCACATGTGGCTCCAAGCGCCATGCCCCGGTCACCGTCTCAGCTGGCGGGCTAAACCATGTGAGTGGGTGGTGTTTACACTGCACCACTGGGCGGACGAGCGGCGACAGGCAGCCAACGGCCAGGGAGGAGGGTCCACAGGAGTGACCCAACGACCAAGTGTGCTCCACCCATGGATAAATGGTCCCACTGCCTTGTGGGCATCGTCGGGAGAAGACAAGGCTAAGGAGTAAACCTGACAGAAATCCGGAGTGGGGCTCCAAAGGCAGTCTGCTGACATACCCTGTCGTCTTTCTGGCAGCTCCTGCAGCCTAAGCGATTCCAAACTGTAGCACTATGTGTTCCTTTGGACTTTGGACTACATCGTCTAGGCCGAGAGGGGAGTCTTGGAGTTTGGGCAGCGCAGGACTTCCATACTACTTGCCCAGGAATCAGTACGCCTCACCCCGTATGAGGCGCCACTGACGTCATCCTCGCTTCGCGACGGACTTCCATGATTCCGAGAAGTATTCTGCTACGTAGAAACTTGAGTGTCATCAGCTAAGAACAGATCTTAAAAAAGCAATAAGTTTATTGGTTTGGTAACTTTCGCGTTTTTATAACTTTTGCATTTTGCTCAGTTTGATCAACAGTTTGAAGTACTCATTGCATTAACTGCATCAATTTATAGCAGAGAATACTTGTAACATTTATGTGGAACAATTAAAAGGAGAATTTTGCTATTTTCTTATTCTCAGATGCATTGGGAATATTATCTTCAAATGGTCACGGATGGTCAATTGTATTTTAACAGTTTCACCATATATCCTTTTCTGAATTTCTTAAGTTTGACATTATTGATTAAATGTTAATCTTAACCCTACTTTTCAAGCCTATCACACATTTGTGACCAATGTTTAAAGTTGGCTCTCTCCCTCTAATGGTGGTTTAAACCTTTTCGTAAGGAGAGGTTGAGAGGTAGCAGGATTATATTAACATAAAAAAATCATACCAAGGTCGAACAGACATTTGCCCCATTGCTGGTTTATGATCTTCTGTGTAGTCGCCTAGTCTTCCTTGACTCAACACCCTCAGGGTCAATCTCTCTCAGCAGTTTACAAACAACACGATGGCTTACATGCACACCATGTTTTAAGCGCAAGGCATGCCAAATTCCTCGTTCTCGGGAAAGCTGTCCAGGCCCTTGAATTTCTCCATTAATAAGAAAACGCAATTGCTCTTCGTTATAAATATTCCTCTTCTTATCAGCCCTTAACGTCTAAAACGGTTTTTCAATGTCACTTGTGATATTTGCACATCAATATTAACAATAGCATCGTATGGATAGCCACGGTTACAAATATTTCTATGGCGTCGCAGCTTTCGCAGTTTACTGTCCTATCTTTTAAGTTGTTTTCAGTGCAGCCAGAACATGCCTTATTAAAAACCACTGTAAAAATGATGAAGAGGAAAAGCTAGACATACTAGACGGCGTTTGTTTTTAACGTAAAATGCGGTCATGCGCGCCCAGAGTTTTGCTTTCTTTAATATGTGTAGGTTATTTTATATATTTTAACAAATTTATGTGCATATTTTTTTATTTGTGTGTGAACCATGTGAGCCACCGTACAAAGCCTCTACAGCGATGGTTTAAAATCAACGATGACCGAAATAGCTTCCGAATAACAACAAAACGCTTCCATTTACTCATTCCCACGCAATGTTTGAAATATAATTTGAATAAATATTTGTGACCTGTAATATTTGGTGGTTTGACAAAAATCATGTTTTAATGCTTGTTATACGAATGTTGAAACAATCTTTAAACTAGGTTTAGATTTAAATTGTACCTACATTAATGAATGTTTTTAGTCAATTTTAAGTCACAAACAATGTTTGTTTGACATAGATCGACGCGTACATAAAATAAAACTAATTTGCTTTAACATATAAGAATGGTAAATCTTTATGTACCGTTTCATTAAATGGAACGAAAATTTCTTAATATCATGATCACATACCTCTAAAAATATACGAAGACAGCTTTAATGTAATTTCAACTCTTAAATTTCATGTTCACTAATAGATCTTCTCATTTTTTGCTGCAAATAATCTTTGTGAAGTGTGTTGAAAAGAAAACACATCTGATTCTATGGGTGAGCAAGGCATTTCAAAGTTGGAACCCTTTTTGCGATAACATGTTGCAGTCTTTAAATGCAACGATGTCAATATCAAGAAATGCTTGTACGCAAATGAACTCAAAACCATACTATCACCTATACAAGTATATATTAAACAATTATTGGATGAGTTTCAGCATGATATCAAGAAATATTCAGATCGAGGTCAGTGTTATCTGCCAAAGCGAAGCTGATTAATATATCTGCCAAGCTGAGATGGTCTAATCTTGTATTCGCAGTGAATTTACATCACAATAGAAGAAACGGGCGAATAAATCCCAAACTGTCATTTCTTCACAATGAAAGACAATTTCATTGTTTCATGCATAAACTTTACTGAGTGTGATTTAATGTTTAATGCATGTTAAGTAAGAATCAATAAACAGTAAAGGACAGAAAACTTAACCATTCATGGAGAGTAATTGTTGAACGGTATTCTTGAGCTAAGCCCAGCTAAACCATGTGAAACCATGGAGTTATACAAGACGGAGAGAGAGTGAGTCATTCATATAGTTTTCTCGCGTACGGTTTGTCGCCAAAAACATGGCGTATACATAGTGTTCCAAAAAAAACCGGAACCAGCTAATTACTGTACGTAGGTTCCGTTTTTTGGAACACCGTGTACCATATGCGAATTCAATCCCTATCAATCTCTAATCAACAAGTAATATTTCGGACGTATTTAGATCTAAAAAATGAAAATGGGTGGCAAGTCAGTTAGAACGCGCCAAAAAGCAAGTTATATAGCGGCGAATTTATCGCAAATATGAAAAAGGTGTGCGACGGGGTAGCAATGTAGGGTTAAAGATCAATGTCGCATCGCGACATTAGCAAAACACAAATTTTACAGAATAAATACCAGATTTGAATGCACGCAAAGTTTTTTTTCATCAAAATTTCACGTTTTTAAGTTAATCGTCGTCACCTTTCAAATAAATTAAAAGTATTCTTTACTGCATTGTGCAAAACCTCAAATGTGCACATATCACATCAAACTATTTTATTCGTTACAGGCTACAAACTGAATATCCAAACAGCAGACTTGCTCGTTAAGAGCAGAAACATGTGAATATGAGCTTCTTCTCAATATGGATCAATAAAATGTGTAACTATTCATCCGTAAAAACCTTTTTCACATCCAATCCAGCCATGAACGCAATTATTTTGACATATTTCACCATACACACGACATTTTTGAAATCTACGATCGATACAAGTCACGTGATAGACGCCCCCGATACCGACATCGATACCTCACGACTGCATTCCGAGATTGTGCGTCGTGAACTCGTGTCGATTTTCCTCGACATTTGATGAAGTTCGTCGTCCGTATAAAATCTTGTATTAAAAAGATATTCACGAATTTCAGGTACCTGAAAAAAAAACGACCTATAGTTCAATTTTTAAATAACAGGGGACCAGTTGAACGAAGCCTTTATAGCGCAACCCATTGAAAAGTAATTTTTTCCAACTTGTGAAAAAAGTGGTTGTCGTTTCTTTAAGATCACTGGAAAATTTTTCCCCAATGCTAACGATTCAATAGTATTCTACATTAAAAGCCTGTGCTTTATAGAAAGATTATAAATTATCATTATGTTCTGAAATATGACTTTAATTTACAAGCTCCTAGCCACTCAAACAATTATGTCTAATCCAATATGCTAAAATAATATAGTTTTGAATTCTGCATTTTGTACGTTTAGGTCATAATTTGAAATTAGAGTACAAGTAATTAAAAATAAAATATTTACTGAAACAGCTGGGTGAAATGCATTACTTGGAATAAAATATAAATTGCTGTCTGTACTTTAAACCAGAGCATGTTCAATTGGCTTATCAATGACTTGGTGTGATCTTTAAATAATCAATGATTTGGTGTGGTCTTTGGCCTTTATAATTTGAAAAAACATGCTGACGTTTTGTCATTACTCAACTTATTAATTTTTTAAGCTAGATTAAAAATTGGATCAGACTCATATGCAATATCAAAGTCTGTACAAACAGTAATATTTGTAGCAATTAAGACTGTTCTTCAACAGCAGAATTGTTTTATAATGCACAAACAATAATTTTCTTTTCAGCAAATGCCTCACCAAATAGAAGAATATACCATTCTGCATTAGAATTCAACTTTAACTGTAATCACAGTTTCACAAGCAATAAAGAAATTGACAACTTCACATTACATTAATAGAATATTAAATAGCTACTGCATCCAACAAATATTTTAAGTCCATAATTTTCCAGCAAAAAACCTTTTTAATCTGTCTGCATTAAATTTTCATGCCTGGATTACATTGCAAAATATGTACTACCTAAGCAAAATTTCATGACTACAGTGCTTCAAAACAAAACTTTTTCCAACTATGGATAACACTGATTTAATGGCAGGCACAGTTTAAGTCAAAGTAAATTATAGCAGCTCAATTGTAAATTCAAAATACTTTCCAGTTGTAGAATAAGATCATTAGTGATGAATTTCTACAGAATATATTTTTACCAGTGAAGTTGCCTCAACGATTTCGAAATTTAAATACAACCAAAATGGAGCTGCAGTGATTTATTTTTAGTTACCTTATGCCTCCCAAACCAATGATTTGGATGCGTATTCAGATCTGGATGCGTATGTTTAGTAACGTGTTTTCCTGGCCAAGAATATGCAACCGAAATGTCGAGTATTTTCTTTAAAGCTGGTAAATTATAAGCAATGAAAACAAATATCTTGGTGCTATTGGTGAAAACTGCCAGAATATACGTTCACATACGTAAAAACGCCTAGCAGTAGGTCACGATTAGTTTCAAAGCACGAACTAGTCAACCGCGAATGTAGCTCAAATCAATAAAATTGAGTTTGGTTTGCAGTAATTATTCACAAAAACGCCAAAAGCTTGATAGTGGTTTCCGATGTATTTAAAAATTTCCATTTAACAAGGCGGAATTGCTTCACTTATTTGCTCATTTAGCCAATTTCACACAGTTTCATTATAAGTTTAACTTACAAGTAGAAACGAAAATGGCGCCGCGTTCCCCCAGACCTTATGTCCCAACTCTCCCAATACAGGGCTCTAGATAGCGCTATTCAGCCTTCGTGCAACATGATCCAGATCCCTAATCTGATATTATAGTTTTCTTTACTTGCTTAACTCTCCCACATCGATATTCATTTGTAAAATATAAACACATATGTAAGTTTGTAAGAACAAGTTACGTAACCTACGATCATTGCATGTGTTGACACAAGAGTCCCCCTGACAAAAAAAAACACAAACCTGTTCGAAATTGTAAGATTTCACTTGAAACCGTCTGGTCTCGTGTAATACACTGTACATTAATCTCCGTTTGCTTAAATTTATCATGCCACCATTTAGATAATCTGGGTTTCCTTCAGATATGTAGATCAAATCTTTGAGATAAACTCCTTGAAACAATTAATAATAAAATTCCATTGAAATACAATAATAGCACAATACAGAAAGACTTTCGTAATTACATATATGGGAACTTAATTCTCAACATCACATTAAGACACTAGATTGGAGTATATAAGGACTCAAGTTTGAACAACAGATCACTTCTGATGAAGATAAAGATTCAACTATCAACCTTAGATCACTCCTGATGAAGACACTAGACCTGAAGAAGACAGTACACAGGAGTATGTAAGGGGTCAAGTTTCAACAACTAATGATTCCTACAGATAAAATAAATTCAGCCAACACTAACCAAAATAAGGGACAGCTGGACTTGGGCATACTCTCAACGATTCTCGATATTTCTTGTGATTTTCTCTTGAGTCCATCAAAACTTCCATGATATGAAGTTGATCCAAGTATGCCTTAGGGATAAGGCCAGGGATTGCTTTACGAAGTCGTCGAACTGGTGAACTACATAGAGCACCCACAGCAATCGCCATTACGGCATTATAATTACGAAGCTCAAGACATTGCTAAAAAAGAAGAGTAGAAAATTAAATACAGCGAGCTCGCAGTCGTAGAGTTTTGTAAATCGATCTCAGACTTTTTCGCGCAAGGCTTACTACTTGTAACGTCGGCAAATAGTTTTCCAGGATGGCAGAAAACGGTGCTTTGGTTTGAATGAACATTTCAGTGGATACTTGTTGCCGTGCTCTTCAGTATTTTTTTTTTTGTTGAATTGTGTTATCTTTTTATCATCATTGTGAGATTTTTAGAAGGGCGCTTGATTAAACACTAATCACAATTGTCTCAGTTTAATTGTTAAGTATATTAGTATTTTGTAAGAGAGTTTCGCACGTGTTCTGCAAACCACCTAGGCTGTTCACATGAGTCCGGTAGTCGGGATTCAGCTCAGCGTTAAATCCTTTTGGCAAATGAACAAGATTAAACACTTCACGACAAAAAAACTTGAATAATTTCTTTCTGCTCTTACTTTGCAAATTCACAAAACCTTTAAAATGGAAGCTAATAAATTTAGCCTGATTTGAAAATTACAACTAAAATGACTTATGATGCTTAAGAAAAGGTTAAAGTTTTTTGTTTAAAATTTTTGCTCCTTTCGAAGACTCAAAATTGTTTCACGCCTCGCTGAATCCCGGTTAGGAAACGCTAGACTTAAAAAGTTGAAGGATCTTCCCACAAACCTTTGCGGTCTCAATGAACTGAGCCAACATTTCGGCAACATTCTCATCGCATTCTTCCTTGAGGAGACTGGCCACGACCCAAGAGCTTAACTGGTTAAAGCGATCCGAAAATAACTCGACAGTAGTCCTTCCATGGTAATTCTCATCTTTCTTTTGCCTCTTATTTGAGCCGTCGGTCACACGCTTCAGTATGTCAGCGGTAGTAATATTGCGAAACAGTCCATGATCAATAAGAGTGATCTGTCTGGCCAGCTCACGTGGAAAGCGAAGAAGCTTTAACAAACTGTGTGTAAACATACAAAACAGTATTTGGCGTTGATTGGCTAAACATTCAAATAAGTACCCCAAGCTTCCTAAGATAAGGCAAAAACTTACATAATGCGGCAAGCAAATTTTGTAAGCCAAGAGAGCTTATAAGCCTTACATGTTGACGAGTTTTGATATCATAAATAAACAAGCTTGTCATAGAGAGAAAAAAAAAGAACGCATATCAATTACAAGGTACAAAAATGCTTAAAACGAGCACCAGCTTTTTGTAGTAATGCCTAAAATATCTTAAAATATGACATGCGAAGTTTTGGGTTTATTAAAATGTCGGAAAGCAATTTTGTGTGTTAGTGAGCTTATATTAAGAGTGGAAACTTACGACATGGCTTTGGTATTAACGAATAGTTTTACAAAAGTGAAAATGCAATAAGAAATTTTCTGAAAGTAAAATTGTGGGGAACATTTCTTTCCAACTAGTTCTATGATATGTAAAAGGATGTTAATCATGCTACTATATTTCTTTAAATTAGGATTAAGGGATTTGCAGTTTTTCATTACATGAAGTCTTGCACTTGTTAAGAAAACTTTAAATCTTTTATTTTCGTGGGTCACACATGTGACGCAGTGAACCTGCTTTTGCATCTTTGAGAATGATGATAAAAAAACTATAATAGCTTGTGTTTCTGGATGAAGTTGCCATAGGACACGATAAATATCTTATATTTTGTAAGGTCTTGATTATTGTCTACGTTTGAAAGTGTTCAAAGTGTACAGCAAACACCGTAAAGATCTAAATTTATACAATTTTCGTGTAAACAGACAAATTACACCTCTTAAAAAGAAATTGTAACCTATGATTTGTATTTTGTGAGAGTGTATGTTATAACCCAAAAGACGCAGGCCATAGGCGTACGGAAGGTATCATTTTTTTTGGGGGGGGGGCGCATATATTTTCCCAAAATCACAATTAAGGTTACGCCATATTTTCGCCAAACTAACATTAAAAACTCGACCAACTTTTCAATCTTCAAACTTAATTGGGGCAGCTGCCCTCAACCCGACGCGTACGCATATGATGCAGGCTGTGTTCAATTCGGCTGTATCACAATTGTTTTGAGTATACAAATTGTAATGAATACTGCTGCTTGTTTTATCGCATGCTAACGTCTGCCAAGTTTTATCATAAACAGACTAGAAATACTATACAGGGTTTTAAAAAAAAAACTGAACAACATGAAAAACGTCACTAAAGTCATCAGCGCGTAAGATTTGGGTAACTTTTGCGGAAATATGTAGCTACACTTCTAATGGTTTATGTGACAGTGAATCTATAGCAAAAAATTTTTAAAATGAGAATTGCGTTACTGAGAAGCTTTTTTGTAATAGCTTTGCGCAAAAATGAGAAAACTAAAAAGCAATTTGAACACAAAGGGTTAAATATGACACATGTTCTTCAAGCTAACAAAGTGTTAGAAAATTTCGTAGCTTCGAAATAAAGAATTTGTTTGAATTTTTCGTGTTTACCTTCTTGCTATAATCCTCAACAGTTATGCGCAAATTAGTTAAATTATGCTTGAATTAATACAAATATCAATAATTAATGACTTTTAAGAAAACGACATTTAAAAAGGGAAAACTCAAAATATCCCACAATTTGGATGCCTAGCGTTTGCGTACGGTTAGGCTACATTTTGGTTCCCTTGAACAACGTGTGCCATATTTTAATCCTAAGTGTTACAATAGCTTTTTTACTTTGTCATTTTTGCGCGCAGGTTATGTCAAAAGTGCTTCAGGGTAACAGAATTCTTACTTTAAAAATTACAATTTGCAAACATTTAAATGTCAGACTGTCCATTGGAAGTCCAACTATCTTTTCCATGAAAGGTGTTTGCAGATCTTGCGCACTGATAACTTTATCGACGTTTTTACTATGTGTTCAGAGTTTCTTTTGATACACCCTTTAGATAATGTTTTAGAGATATTTGTTAATGTTCATGTAATAAAAAACCGCACACTACTTAGGTCTCTAATAGTTCTATCTTAATTGTCTCACATCATTCTGACTTCGATATCTTGGGCAAGTTATAGTACACACACGAGACGGGAGACGTCGCCGTTTAAGGCATAAAACTAAGGTGGAGGTTCACATCATACACAAATATTTACTTACGTGAAATCAGTACGGTTAAAGTTTGCCAGTTCAGCGTCTGGTGGACACATACAAACAAAAAGGTTTAAAGAAGACATTAAGTCTTCTGTGTTCGGTTTCTGTCCTTGAGCTCTTGAGCAATCTTCGTAGTTAGTAATCATATTTGCCAACGAAGGTTGATTCAATGTTGATCTTGTTGGTGATGACGACAGCTTGTATTGCGAGGCTAAATAAAAATAAACATAGATTTCGTGCTAATTGTGGTTGATGAGTGCTCATTATTATTCATTCATTACCACCGAAAATGACACACTTTATCTTAAATCTTACATAATTAGTGTAAAAACTGTTCTCGATCTCTGTTCTTCAATCAACTTTACTACAAGACACGAGTTATCTTATTTCTTATATATCTTAGATAGTGTAAAAACTGTTCTTGTTCTCTGTTGTTCATTCATCACTACCAGCACTGACACAGGTTATCTCAATTCTTATATATTTTCTTACTAAAAACAACACGTATTAACAAAGTAATTCAACAAAAAATTACTAACATGAAGTAATACTTGATAAGTGCGAAGGCTCAGCTATCTTCTGATCTAATGTACCAACACTATATGCCATCAATGGAACACAGACATCGTCACCCACATTCTCATCGACGGCCATCTTATTATTAAAGAACGGCATCGAAGTTAAATGATCATTGCGCTGTTTAGAATTTTTGTGAACTGGGGACGAGTGTCGTCTACGTTTTGATTCTAAAAGGGAAATGTGAATAAAATAAGGCCATGATAAAAGATGTATAAAGGCAATCTAATCATGTGTTTCTACAATTTTTTGTTGGAACTTTCCTAAGTAAATAGGAGAGTTAGATATAACCACAAGCAAACTGAACACAAAGACAAATGAAAGACAAATAATGCGATAAAAAAGATATTCTCCAATCTATCTGTCCTTTATGTGTGTTCAACAAAGACTGGATGAAATTTTACTACACAAGAGTGTTATATGTAATCATAAGAAAATTGAACACAAACACAAATCACAAACAAAAAATTAGATGATAAGATCATTCCTTGGTCCATCTGCTATTCAAGGAGTATTATTCAGGAGTTAAAGCAATAATTCCACAAAAATTAGTGAACACAATAACAATCCAACATTTCACAACACCTTCATTTCCTCGTATCGTGTACATAAGACTATAAGATTGCCACTCATCACGACTTTGAAATATGTTGGTAGTTTTTGTAAGAACTTCCAATCGACAATTGATCTCCTGTTCCATCGCTGCATCTCCCCAGTTTTGTCTGTCTTCTGATCGTTTCGTCCATGGAAGATAATCTTTCCTGTTTATTCCCTACGTAAAACACAGGAAAACAAATGGGATAACCTCCGTACATTTTCAAAGGATGCATGGATCGCTAGGAGGTTATTTTCAATAAATCTGATTTTTTTAAGTAGGAGTAATTATTAGTTTTTAGTGATTGCTTAAATTCTTTTTACATCTCGAAAACAAGGACATAGGAAATAGCAAAAAAGGGGAAGGAGGTAGGAGGGACCGAGATAACCTCTCAAATGCGTGGTTTGGTGGGGTGGGAAATTTAAAATAAATAAAATGAACAATATAACACTAGAACTAATATATTCATGTTTTTAATCATTAATTTTGAGGTAATATAACAGAACCATAAGTAAGGTCAACGCAAAAATTGCGAAAGCGAGATTTTCGTAAACATCTAGCTAAATAAATTTTTAACTGTGACAAAAAATACGGCAAACATAGTAAGTTAATGTTGATGAAAAAGTAAAAACTTCAATATAATATTTCATGTATGACAGACAACTTACTGTATTGACAATTAATTGTATGAGAGTGAAACTTTTTTTCGATACTGCGAGTCTAAGACAAGGCCCTGACCAAAAAACCTATTTTCGTTCGAAGCAAAAGTTTCAAATTTGTTTTTTTTACAATTAGTTTGAATCACATCATCTTTGCAAGGTTACCACAAAAACAAGACAAATTCCTAATTCCTTACCTCGCAATGACGTTTAAAGACACATTTCTTGATGGTATTTTGAAGAAGTTCTCTATCTTCGTAACTTTCACATTGAAAATGAAGACTGCACTCGGAAAACAACAGTAATAGCGAAATGTTGTTTTCCTCCGCCTTCCATCCCAGCAAACTCGTCAAATCCCATTTTTTCAACACGTTCCTACTCTTATTTTCGAGGAGCACCGTTTCCTTGTCGCCAACGCCAAGCAGTCGTTTGCGCATGCTTGATTTATTACTAGACGAAATCTCCTGAAATAAAGAAAAAATTTGAAAAACACTAAAAAAGCGACGAAGCTGACTTTACAACATATTTAATGGAGAGGAAATTGAATAAACGGTCTGAAAAGGGCAAATTAAAAAAAGGGTTTTGAAAATGTTTTACATCAAACACTTTATTACTATTTCAGTTGAACGAGGTGAATGAGATATTAAGATGACAATTATTAAATTCGGCTTTTGCATTATATCAAAATTATTCAGACTTCGGTCAACTTTATCTGCCTCAGCTTTGCGTCAGAAGATAAATTTCATTCATGATCTCGGTCTGAATAACTCTTGATATCATGTTAAACCTCATCCAATAATTGTTAGTTTTTTATCAATTATCGGTATGGCTACAGCATTACCTAGTAATCAAGTATTGGTAGTTATTTACCTTCACACGGAAAAACGTACAGCCATAGGCGGCCATTCCTTGACAACAATCGATGAAATCATGTTTGGCCTTTCGTTGACTTGGTGCATCCCTTGTTATTTGTTCATTATATGTGCGAACTTTTTTATAGACATTCTTCACTCGATGAAAGAAAGGATTTAGACAAAGTTTAATGCGAGATGTAGGTATTTTTTCCATGCTGTAGTCCGTGACGAACACCTTTGAGTTGGGTTGGTCTCCTGATGACGATTGCTGTAGATGAAATGTCGTAATTTATAATTTTGGTAGAATAAAAATGAAGGACAAATATGCTAAGGAATATCGATAACATCTTTTTATGAGCCAATCACACAATTTTCTTGTGAAAACTCTCTTACATAAGAAGGTTTCATCAAGTCTTCGTTGAACACATAAGGACGGATAGACTTAAAAATATCTTTATCATTTAATTATTTGTCCTTCTTTTTGTTCAATTTTCTTGTGATTACATTAAACTCTACTACATAAGAAGCTTTCATAATGTCTTTTGTTCTTCATTAAGTCTTTTGATCTTTTTTAGTGTAAAATTTTGCACAAGAAAACCACTGATATCAAATAATCATTTTGCTCACTAGGCATGCGTAGTTCGAGCACTCTTAGAGCTATGCAACGTTTATTTGTAGAAGTTAGAACACTTTGCTCTGGTGACTCTTCAGTACAATTTCAACAATGTGCAAATGGACGTCGTGTTTCCAAGAGTAGGAATCACCATTGCACTTTGGCTACCAAACTCTGAGCACATTCTTATGAAAATTGTATTATATAAAGTACATACAGTTTTCCAATGGTTTGATCATCACTTATCAATACTGACCTCAATATATAACTGTAATGCGGCAAGATAAACTGCGTCATCGATTCTCACAGGTAGTTTACCGCTGACCACAGCTTGCTGGCACTGCAATGAGCACGAAACATAATGCAAGCATATGCCAAAGTATTTGAAAGATTTCATAAATTTTTTTTACTTACGGTGCGAAACAAAAGGTCGTGGTGGCAATGATTGTCAGGTGGATAAGAAATCGTAGAATTCTCTCGATAGCAAGTCAGGAGATCTCGTAAATGATGGGCACAAACAAGGTAAGGACCCTGATGGATCGCTAAGTTACGAACTAGACGACACATCTCAACCTATAAGCAAGAAAAGCAAAAGTCATAAAACGATGCTGGCATTCATCATGAGATATTAGCGAGTACAGACAAATTAAAAGATCGACTTGAACAAAGCCTAATCTGGTGAGTAAGCCATAAGGATTTTATTAATTTTTTAACATGGTGAGGCTAGGTGCATTGAAATCAACATGGCAACATCATTTATGGCAGATGAAGCATGGGATAAAATATATTGCAAAAGCTCATCGATTTTTTTTAGTTTAAAATCAATGGCATTGTTGTAGAAGTATTTTCAATTTAAATTTAACATCTAAAATCTATTTTGCCTAACTCAGGATGCGCTACTGAAGATGACCTGTCTATGCTGACCAGCTACACCTTAAAGTACCCAGACTGACAAGAATGGATAATAAATTCCATACTCGGTCCCATGCTTCAGTGCCATGAAGACAAACCTGTAGCACGTGATTTTCACGGAAATCATGGGGAAATTTCTCGAGCCACGTGACCCATATCCTCATCAAAGAAACGTGCACCAATGGAAGACAACTTGACTGATCTTTAAGTACTCCAGTTTCATCATCAAATAAGTGGATCAGTGACGGATCATGAAATCTAATGAAATACAATTGGATGATAAATATAATTTTGAATGATGTTTAATATGTGCTTGTTTCTGGCAGTGTAAGTTTGAATATTCTCTCTCAAAATAAACGGTTTGTGTTTAAAAAATTAAGAGTATTCTTCTTTTTCTCATGCACAGCAATATTAATGGTAATCGTTGCAAATATTCTCTTTTCATAACAAACGTCTCATTTGAGTAAAATTGTTCAGCATTGTGGCTTCATCTAATTAGCTGGTAACAATATGTTGGAATTCCACAAATTACAAATGTGCGATTCTTTAATGCCCATATCAATGATTTAAGTTACTAACTAGTTTCCTGGATGAAGGAAACAGAGCAACACCCTGGATTCAAAATAGAAGACAGAAGGTTCTGATTATAAATAATCTAGGCCTGGCGGGGTTGTGTGGTCAATCGATGACATGTAACAATAACTAAAATATCAGTAATGACGTATGTGTCAGTGTAAGTAGCATTACTCCATGATTTCATGCAGTGTTTTACTAACCTATGAATCAGCAACCGCATGAGAACTACGGCATTTGTGTACGTAGCATATGTTGCTAAAATGAACTCGATAACCTGTTCTTCACTCGCACGTGTCTTTGCTCCCTTGATGAGTGATCTACTCGTCGGGGAGGGACCGAGTAATGGCACACCACCCCAGAGAGTAATTGCGTTCGTCGTCAATACTCTCACCAGTTCTTCCAAATTCCCACCCTTGACGTAAGGTTCTTGGTTAGATGAGCAGTCTGTGTACAACAGTCGTGGTTTATCTGTGTCTTGATCAAACAGATAGCCGCAGTCGTCGTCATCGCAGTTCAGGTAGACTAGTGCACGGGTCACGTGATAGTATGTTCTGCGAAATAGGAAAAGACGCTGTGTGATTGGTCGAGTTTAAACATGACTTATTCATCAAACTATCACACCTTTAGTAGTGATTTCCATATTTCAAATAATTACTAAGCAGAAATCTGTTACTTGTGTGAGGCAAATTTTTCAGTAAAATTACTGTTCATTTCTTTTGAAATTTAATTCCATTCGAATTTTTTCTTTTGATAATTAATTTCGCATCAGAAAAATTGTGACAACTTTTGCGTGAGTGAGTAACCTTTAAGCTTAACACATTTTGCTGCTTAGCGTAAACCAGAAACAAGGAATCAGTTGTAGGTAGCAAAATGCTATCTACGCGACTGGAATTTTCTCTAGTGTTGTAGTGGTGGTCTTCAACTATCTGATCTTTGTGGGAAGCAAGGAAAACAAGTGCAACATACAAACTATATCAAACCCACCACCACTGATCTGATAAAAGACTGGATATAGCTTCTATAGGTATCAAAAGTGAAGCCTAATTATATATGCAAAATGAATTGAATTAATTGAATTGAAATTAAAAAGAATGATAAAATTAAGTACAAATCACAATTTTTAAACATTGAAACATATTCATGATCATAACTGCCTTTACACTTGAAAGCGGACTGTGAATTCTCTTGCCTTGGCAACTATGGGCAAATTCGATTCTTGCACGAGCAATTTTCAAATGAACACGAACGCCGATATTTTGAACTCAAATTGATTTAAAGAACTTGTTTTATCCATGACAGTTGTTTGGGATAAGTAAAAGGTCGCGAAATACCTTAAATATTCGAAAATCCTTGTTTGTAAACGTTATCCACCATACATTCCTATAGTAATTTGTATCTCCAGTGGGTAACCGGAAATACACTTTGCATGTATAATTAGGCTTAACTTTTGATACCTATAGAAGCTATATCCATTCTATTAACAGATTAGTGCCTACCACTGGTGACTACATACTTAGAATCCTTTTCCACAAACTTCGTCAACGACTCAACAACACCGGAATTGTCAAGGACTTCATGATTACCATCGTGCATTGCAATATTGGCAAGTGTAACAGCCGCGTTGTGTACGATCTCGTGGTCATCGTCTCGCAAAGCTTCTAGGAGTAAGCCTATCGCTCTAAAAAATGCAATTTAAAGTATTACACTGCATTTAGTTATTTAGAATTGCCAATGGTAATTGGTCACGATTACTTGAACACCATTATAAACATCGATATAAACAATTGTTGCTCTATATATATAAAACTACCAAAGGAAGTTTGTGTGTAACGATTCTCCGTGAAAGAACAGTGCTCGATGCGCGAGAGCAGAGCGTAAATATGTATAGTGATATTTAAAAAAATCACAAAAACTAAAATTTCATCCCGACAAGCTTGTTTCATGATTGTGAAGGAGTGATGAGTGATTTACTCGTCGTTGTACTTTAAAATTTATACATTACACTTCAATAAAGTACTTATGTCTTACTCTACGTATGATTGTAAATCATGACGTCATAGGGCGCTGTTCTGTATACAATAGCGTGACCAAAAAGTTTTTGTTAGATACGTCACGAAATACATAATGGCGTTTTTTAATTCCATTAATTAAAACAAAACAAACTCCGAATATAATGTCCATCTTTACCTCGATAGTTGAGATAAATGAAACGACACAAAAATACATACTATATATTAGTGTGTCTTTTCTGATATTGAACTAAAGATCGAAATTGCATTTGGAATTTGTTTCGTTTTATACTTTATTAGTTAAAGATGAACGCATGCGCATACCTTTGTGCACCAAGCTCTCTTTGTACCTTTAAATGAGTACTTGATGCAACAAGAAGACGAGTTGCAACAAGTCGTGGATTGAGTTTATGATGAGGATCTTGAAACGAGCTGATAATACAAAACAATATATCAGGAAAAATTATCAATGAAGATAAAATACATGTCAAAGTTTGAAAACCACTAATAGTTTCTACCACATCTTAATATCATAGATAAATCATAGATAATAACCTCACGTTGCTGTGATGTACTCAGGTATAGTAACAAAATAATTATTGTCTCCAATGTTTTACAAACTCAACTACAAAATCGACTGTGAACTGTAATGATATTTCAGAACACATGTCTACTTTCTTTCATTTATAAAAAATAACATCACGTTGTTCAGATGTACTCAGATACATTGACATTATAAACATTGTCATTAAATGTTCTACTAGCTCAGCTACAAAACCAATTGTGGACTGGCGTCTCACAGAAAAATTTAGTTCGTGCATTTCAAGCGGTGGCGTCAACAAGTATTTTGCTTGTTGACGCCACCATGAACTTTTCATCTGTACAACAAATTTTTCTCGTTTATTCATATTACAGTGCACAAACGCAAATATTTGCACTGAAGGACTTTCCATTTTAGCTAACTGCTGCGGAAAATGATAAATCCAGAAAATAAGAATATACGAGAAAGGTCTTACTTAAAAGACTTCATAAATACGATGGCAAAAATTACCGGAAAATCCTTCGAGTCATTCCAACATTCAGATCAGCAATTTCTGCACAACGACTATGTATTGTACGTTCTCCATCATTATAACAACACAAAAGGTTCAAAACTGGCTCCGAAGGGATATTTGTCATCGTTGAATTGTATTCGCGTTCGCAGTTCACATCTTTCAGTAAATTATCCAAAACTTCTAAGCAAGTTCTCTGAAACAAAAACGCGAATGTGAAATCAAAGAAATATCATGAAAAACAAATGTTAGAAAATTCCATTTTAAAAACAATTTCGCAGCCCATTTTTATGAAGAAAATTCCTATTTTTCTCCTTAGGTATAATATATTGTTTCAAATATCATCACACCTGTACTGGATCCTGTGTCTCAGCAAGCTGCAATACAGTTCGCACAAGGCCAGCGTCTGATGCTCGTCGTCGACTATCTGGACCTTCGATCTAGGAAGAGAAAGCAAGCAAAATGTTTCACAGATGTCTTGTTTCTGTTTAGTGGAATGTTGCGATAGCATTTCAACGGATGGTTTTCAGATTCTTGGTAGACTCGGGGTTCTGAGCTTTCATGGGGTAAGTAGTAAAAACATGTTTCTCTTAATTGGTTATAGAGCTCAGAGTTAAGTTTTAAGACATGGGATATTTATTCAGTATTAGATTTACGAAATAAAAGATACTGCAAAATTATTCTTGTTGGGTATACACGCTTTATGTTAGGAAACAGCTTTGAACACAACGTACCAAGATTTTGTCTCATATAAAAGAAGAATTACTTTCTTAAAAGGTGATTACATGAGCCCGGTAGCCGGGATTCAGCCAAGCGTTAAATGATTTTGGCAAATGAAAACGACTCAATGCTTATCATTAGATAAATTTCACAAGTAATTTCACAATATTTTGATTTATTAACTTCTCAAAACATTTAAAATTGAAACAACCAATTTGCCTTAATTTGAGAATTGCAAAAGGAGGGATATGTGGTGCTTCGTAAGTTGTAATTTTTAAAGTTTTTAACCATTTCAATCTCTTGAAATCATCGGGCTACCTCGCTATCCAGGCCAGTTCGCCTCCATATAATCAGGCCCTTAATTATTTAATACGTATAAATACGGTATGGATCTAGACCAACACATCTCTCTTACTGGACAGAGCACTATAAAGAAGAGTCGTTTTCCTACAATGCACTTTGAAGCACGTAAATTTAGATTTTTTTAAATCTGGCATAAAGAAATATGCTTGTACTGTACTAACTCAGAGATATTCTATCGTAATTATCATAATTTATGTTATATCCCAGGCTGCAACCAAAATCGCAACTGTTTTCAGGGGGGGGGGGCAAAAAAGAGATCATTTCCTTTCAATAAACAATCGAAACTAGCTGTTGGTATTTTTTGCATTTCTGAAGTGTGGAAAGTTTGGTTATGCTGATTACACTCTGCTGGGCTTGCACACTGTAAAAACAAAAGATTTTCAAACAATGTTAATAATCTGAGATTTACACAGCACGACCAAACTTGCCGACCGGATACGTTACTACTACTTACACTGGCGAGATTTTTGATCAGGATACAAACTGCTTCTGCCACCCATGGTCGAGATGTCGGTGATTTTGCAAACAAGGACAGCAGCGATGACGCTTTGGGTAAGCAAAGGTAAGATAAGAGTAACGGTTGACACTCGGGGTTAAATGATAGCTTCACTAGAGAGTTAAGAGCAACAAAAACAGGATCTTCCTCTTTATAGGAACGGGTGAGGGATGTGCCACTGTAACCGCTGTCCGTATTTGATCGCTGTCTTGCGCGGAACTAGAATACAAACGGTAAAGAAATTATCGCTAAAGTAGAGGCTAAAAATAATGAAATGTTGTAATCTGAGCCGACATATTAAAATATGCGGCGATCGAATGCTAACCAGTGAGCTTTAAAATCAAATGAAACAATAACTCAATACAAACGCTTTATGGTTATCTTGATCAATTGTAAAGGCCTGGAAAGACTTGTAGAGTACATAGCAACAAGTATGGCATTCCTTGCAAATCTTTTCCAGATAATATTTTTAAACACTACTTAAAAATTGCTGTTTTAGTCGAAGTATTTCCGTTTCTTCTTAATTTAAATAAGGGGAACGTATGATTAACAAGACAATGTAAAATATAAAATATTTTATGTTTTTCTTTGTTGCTTTTGCTCTGATTTTTGAACAAAAAGGAATGGAACGACCATCATGCTTGACGTCATATTTGCTTCAAAGGTAGCGGTGAAACTATTGTTCCAGTTGTACATTGGACTGGCTCAACTAAATAATTCATCAGACTTAGTTTACAAAAAAATCTTACCGAGTCTGTTCTGTCAGTCAGATCTTTACCGACGTCCTGAGTTAATGACAAAGACTCTGGATCAACAACACCATCCCCAGTCCCTTTCTCTAATGTTATAATGCTTTGAAATCGAACCGAGTCCCTTCGCGTTCTTCTCCTTAGCGAATCATCACTATCATTATGTAGCTTGCTGTTGTGCAAGATACCCTGTGAAGAAAGCATTGTATATGAACTGGGGATCAATTTTCGACTGGCTTTGGAGTTTTTTCGAAAAAAGGAAACACATTGCAATATGTTAAGTTGAATAAATAAGTAAACTAGTTAATCTATCTGTTTTCTTGCTTGCAAGCAACCTGCATGTGTACCACGACAAAATATATTGATGATCAAAAAGAGTTTTATATAAAACGAAACAAGCAAAACAATCTACTGATCTTCATACAGTAAGAAAAAACCTCAATGACACGTGCAGATCGAAAATTTTATATGAGGGGGGAGTGCATGATTTGGAAATGTCGAAATGCAATAACATTTCATTAACAAGTTGTCAAACTATGTGACCTCATGGAGGGTGTGCATCCTCTACACCCTCTCTAGCATCTGCCCCTACAAACTTTCTCTTGCATCCCCTGCACCCCCATGAAGATATTCCCAGCACTCCCTGAATCTGCCTCTAACAACCTTCTTGGAATAAAACCAAGCAAACTAAATTACCTGCCGGGTGGAGTTTGGATCATGATATGTCATGAAACGTGAGTCTGCACATTTCTCAGGATTGGTCAGTGGCACTGGTGTATCACATTTGAAAGAAGCTTTCTCGCCCAAGACAAAATCAGCTGGAGTAGAGCTCATAACAGCTTCTGACAATATACCTCGAGTCCATGTGTCAACGGAACCGACAATCATCGTTCCTCGTCGCGAACTTTTCGTAGATACTCGGATGTTTTCGTGACAGGAGCTCTCCTCATCTATTCTTTCCGCCATCATACTCGGGTTACTTGAAGAGCAAGACGTATTGATGTTTTGTCCCTGTGTAGTTGCTGGAAAATCGTTTTTAGCAAACGCGTTTGTTTTGTCTACATGAATGTTGCACGTAGAGAGAATCTTTTCTTCATGTATAACTGTTGGTTGCTGATGTTGTTCTGACAATAGCGAGTTACACGTTTTTAACATTAGGTCAATGATTTTCACTTAAAGACTAAAGCTAATTTTTAATATTGCTATACTACTAAGTATTGCAGAAGTTAAGATGCGTTAATTCAAAATAATTTTACTTTTTTTCACATTTTAACATTAAAACAAACATTATGTTGTAGCCTGGTTATTGTGATGAACTCAAGTATAGTAAAAATATTTTCCTTGTCTCCAATTTTCTATCTAAGATATTTGAAATACAGGACAACTTTCCTCTATATTTAAGACTTATAGACAAGAAAATGACGTTGTTGTGATGCGATGCACTTGGGTATAGTAACTGCTGACTAGGTAATGAATCATAAATGCTAAGCAAAGAGAGAAAAAAGACAAACTGTAGACTTAAATTCATGTTTAATTTTTCAAAATATTTATCACCTGATTTGATTTGAATCATAAAAAAACTGAACGACAGTTTCTAAACAATTGCAACGGTAATATTTCAATCAGGACCAAGTTTTTCTATTTATTTATAACCTTGAAATAGTGAACCGATAAACTCCTACCTGAACCATCACTGTTGATGATCTTTGCATCTTTTTTCCACTGAAAGCTTCCAACGTCAAAATTGGCCATAAATCTTCGGCTGACGTCACGAGCATGAGCCAATGGCTGTGAATTAGTGACAACGTTCCCCTGGCTTTGACCATAGTGGGTGACCCAGCAGGCAGAGTGCACAGAGTATACAGATGGCAAAGACATAATGGAGTCTGAGTGCGATTTGCTGATGTCAGCAGCCATAAATACCTCACAAACTGACTGCACCAAACGACTCTGAAGCTCTTTTAAGTCCTAGAATAAGCATGTTTTAGAAATTGATTTTGGAATCTAAATCTAAAAAGCAGCACGCCAGCATCGAATGCAAAATGTGTTATTATGAAACTAGAATGCGCGAGCTACAATCTTAAATAGACAAAATAAAATCCGGAAACTAAGAAACGAAATCTGAAATCTACGATATTAAATCTGAAATCCAAATACTTAGCTAAGACAAAACAAGATTTAACATCGAAAACCTTATTTAAGGCCAAAAAAACCTACACCCTTAAGTAAAAACGAGAAGTTTACGGAATTCTGAAATTTTGTTAACCAGCTTCACAAAATCCCTACCAACCAAGCTCTTGTAAACAGCCCCGAAATGTTGCGCGTTGATAGGCTAAAGAATACTTCTCCGTCTCACGTCACATGTTTCACATTTATACTGTACTTCTGTCATTATTCTTGGCTTCAAGCGTAAGCAATTACCAAGAACTTGCAAATTATTGGATGTTTATTGTGTCTTAGGTTGAATTTATCTAAAAATACATGCTGTAATAATTTTTCATTATCCTTTCCAAAGACACAAAGGAAAATGTGCTATGCCACGTGTGTGACCCACAAAAATGGAAATTGGATGAATTCTGTTAAGAGCCAATTTTTGTAAGCTTTCATTAGGCAAAGTAGTAAAAATACATGAAATACTATATTTACCAATCGAAAATGGAACTGAAAGTGACATATTAAAATATATTAACACATCATACAAGTAGTACTGAAATTTTGCCTTGCTGCCTCAAAGGTTCTATCACAAAGAATTGCCAAATGCTTAAAGGTATCTTTTGTTATCTACTAATTATAAACTACGAACTTACCGGAAGGAGATCCAAAGGGCGTGAACCATCGATATTGTTATCACTAATTCGAGCACCATGTTCAATAAGAAGACATGACATTTCCGTACCACTAGGATGTCCAGCACACATGTGCAGGGGAGTTCGACTTTAAATAAAAGCAACAGTGTACGATGAATTGAAAATTAAGAGAGCATTGTAATTGAGAGAGTATTATTTTGAATTTGGCCACTAGCCTCCACGTTTCCATGCAAATGAAGGTTCTAAATTGGGGGTGTTTAAGAACTCAAGTTTCAACATCAGATCACTCCAGATAAAGACACTAGACTGGAGTATATAAGAACTCAAGTTCCAACATCAGATCACTCCTGATGAAGACACTAGACTGAACTATATAAAAACTCAAGTTTCAACATCAGATCACTCTTCATGAAGACACTAGACTAGAATACATAAGAACTCAAGTTCCAACATCAGATCACTCTTGATGAAGACGCTAGACTGGTCTATATAAAAACTCAAGATTCAACAAAAGATCATTTCTGATGAAGACACTAAACTGTACCATATAAAGACTCAAGTTCTAGCATCAGATCACTCATGATGAAGACACTAGACTGGAGTATACAAAAACTCAAGTTCCAGCATCAGATCACTCCTGATGAAGACACTAGACTAGAGTACATAAGAACTCAAGTTCCAACATCAGATCACTCCTGATGAAGACGCTAGACTGGACTATATAAGGACTCAAGTTCATCATTAGATCACTCCTGATGAATCCTGATGAAGACAACAAGTTTGAAAACCCTAAAAGCATTAGATCTAGCTAGTACTCACAATTCACAGTCTTTGGCTCGGACATTTGCTCCATTAGAAAGTAAAACCTGTGCAATTGATTTGTCACGGTTAGATGCAGCCTGATGCAGGGGTGTCATATCGTTTGGTCCTTCCCAATTAACAGAAGCGCCTCTAGAAATAGATCATGCAAATTATAATAAGACTGTAATTTTCTAATATTAAAATATCCATTTCTCTTCAGTCTTGAAAAATTCCTTTTTGTAACACCTTTTTTACAAAAACATTCCTCTTCTTTCGAACAAAATCAAAAATCCATCCACTCTGGAACAAAACTCAAAACTGCAAAAAACTGTATGCAAAAATATTGGTTGACTGACCTATCCAAGAGCAGTTGCACGACGCTTATCTTGCTGTAATTAACAGCGTGAAAAAGTAGACTACGTCTTGTTGAATCAGAGAGATCCACGTCAACACCATCGTCGAGATAAGACGACAAACATGTCAAGTCCCCTCTAAAATGATAAAAATACATTGAAGTTGTGCTGTGCTTTTGATAATAAAGAATTGTATGGTGTGCGTGCAACTAGAATGCAACTTTTGTAAATTTCTTAACCTCTTTTTATATACATATTAAAAAGCTGGAGTGTCAGCTCCTCGAACGCCCTCTGACGTATGCCCTTAATCTCGCTCCTTGGGTAACAAAGACGTTTTTCAAATGATGACAAGTTTGTAAATAAATGTAACGACATCTTTGTTATCACCTCGGCTTCAAAATGAAAAAGTCTAATCCTTTTGCTAAAAGTGTTTATGCAATTTCATGGGCACAGGAAGATTGATGATCATACTTATATATGCATGTTATAATCTGTTGAAAATAATAGATTTCAAAGGAGCCTAATCACTGAATATCATGCGTACATGAATTTGACACCCCGTTATTGATCTTCTTACGTCCATGTATCACACTTTTATGAATGTAAGTTAAAACAATTAACCTCCTCTATAATTTCTTCCACTATAGTAAAATGGAGAATATTTACTTCTTTCCAAAGATATTCAACTTATTAAATAACATGGTTTTGACATCAATTGCTTATTAACTTTTCACATAGTTAATTCATTCACTATTACATACAAGGGTTTACCAAATATACATTTTTAGAGCAATTGCTAAATGGGTGGAAAAGTTTGATGTTTTCCTGCAAACAGTCGATAAAAGCTACCTTATACTTCGTAAAACGATATGTGCAAATGTGATTTCATAACATTGTTATTTGAAAAATGATCAACGTGTTTTGTACGCACGTTGAACTATTACGTAATCATGACAATCTCAAAAATGACTAAATTCTTATATTATAAACCCACTTCATATAACCGGATGTTGACTAACTATTATGAAGAGTCAGAATTGCACAACATTACACAAAGATTGCAAAAAAAATAGCCTCTCTTTACAAACAGTCGCCTGCGATGAACTTATCGCTATTGCATAAGATTGCACAAAGAACGCATCATGACATAACAGTTTCGCTCAAGTGGCAATGTAGAAAATATTAGTAAAGTTTTGCATCAAAAAATTCAAATTACGTACCCTCAAACCCAGGCAAAGACCCTCAAATCTTTTAAGCGATACTAACTTTCACATTGACCATTAGAAACTGCACCTGAATGCACACGTGACCTTCTCTTTTAAGATTCCCGCTTAAACCTTCTTATACAACAATCCTTAAGTTCCGGATGTCGCCTATCAACATGTACTTGCGCTTGTCACAATACATAAGCTTAAACAAAGGACACGCCACAACGTAACGTACGTTATGATTTTGAATGAAAGACAATATTAGGCAAGTTATTGAAAGTTTAGAATCGTAATATCGAAACTTTGAAGAGCAAATAGCTTTAATTGTAGCCAGTTTCAAGTACTGTTTTAATGTGCACAAATGTAAGAAGTTAGACATTTGTACATAAACATGGGATGAAGGCTTTTGAACAAGACTGATTGGATATTGACAATTCAAAATTGTATCAAAATAAATTCACACGGTTTACTGTAAAATTCCCACCAACATTTTTAACTTTTCAATGCATAAAATAGGATGTCGCAACTCTAGGGGACTTAACAATACTTGTCAAGATTTCATGTTGGTACAAAGGACCCTCCACGACATAACGGTTTTGAATGAACGACGATATATTTGAAAGCTTCGAATCCCTATATTGCATGTGATCATACCTGCGCGAATTTTAAAATTCTCGTTAATAATTTTAATACTTCAATTCATCATAACATTTAGGGAATTTCCTCTCAGCAAAAAAAATCGCCTCACAAGTACTTGTAACGTTTACATAAACTTCCATAAAGGACGCAACACAAAAGACGATTTTTAACAAAAAGCAATATAAAGCAAATTCTAATATTGAAACTACGAAGAGCAAATATCTTCAATGCAGCCGACTTCACTGTATAGTTAATTAGCAATTATTGGATAAGGCTGAACAACTACAAATAATTTTTGACATTTTTTTTACATGGTAAGACATTGAGAATCATCTATACATGCTAAGCAATTCGCAATCGAGATGGCACCATCATTGTATAATATGCATCATTAATACAAAATTTTATGTCATAATAAACTTATTTACGAAGATACGATGAAATTATTCAAACGATAAGACATTGCACACGAACCATTCAAAACTACATCTAAATATATACATGTACCAAATTTGAAACTCCCGCCATTTTACTTCTTTAATCTTCAATTCTGGATGTCAGCACTCTTGAGAAATACTTCTCGCAATTTTATATGTTTTAATAATACAATGGTCTTGAGCGACTAGCAATACTCGTCAAAATTTGTGTTCTACTTTTAAAATAGTAAAGTGTTTTCCATTTCTTCCTTACACTGCCAAAGAAAATGGCGCAGAGCAGCTTTCAACAAACCTACAACAACCGCTTTTCTTAACTGCGAAGCTTATGGCTCGATGATCATGTCGCACGCGAAAAGCATTTGAATGTTTTGAATAGCAAAGTCAACATTTTAAAAGTTTCGTGTTAGTGTATTCTTAACAATATAACACTTCTTTTTGATTCAGAAGGAAAAGAAATAAACCAATTTTTTTACCTTTGAATTGCAGATAACACGAGTTCCAATATTTCGTCGCTGTCATCATCTTTGTCACTCATACTAGTTAAAGGAAACGGGAAAAAACTTAGAATTATAGGATTTTCACTTTATTAAAGCAGGTACAAAGTGACACCACTGTTTTAAAACAAAACATTTTAAAATAAAAAAACAGCCGCACATGACTACTATATGGTGAAATTTTTGTTGCTATATGGTTGTTGATAACCAAGTTATTCATAACATTAATTGTAATTTTTTAAAAGCACTATATATATTAAGCATTTCAAATGGACGACAATTTTCTTTATCGCAATAGAAATCAAAATTATTCTTTGTACTGAAGATGGCATAAGCATGCCGAAACATGTTTACTTTAAAGAAAATTGTCGTCCATTTGAAATGCTTAATTTGTTGTAACTGGTAAAATTTGTTTTTATAGTATTCCATGCCATTAGTGCTGTCGCACAACTTTAGTAGTGCGAGATGCTGGCAGACGATAGGACTGTATCCTATAGTTCTATAGGGAATGATAACTGTTTATGAGGTCACGATTCCCGACGAAAAATATTGTTTCTGTAAATTATCTTGCCCAAATTCTTTTATTTGAGTGATGTTCCCTACCGCAGCGCATACAATTTTAAGAATTTTTGTTCACCTTAAAAGTTCACATCAACGTATGTCCAATGCGTGAAAAAATTATGTCAAAATTCGTATTAAAATATTGTTTGAAGCCTCTATTTATACTGAATATAATAGCTCCCCTCTCCAACGATTGGAAGTAACTCTTCTCCGGTACACAGTGCAGCTGAGTGTATTTAACGCCCAATGCAAAATGCAGTATATGCGTAAAGGGTTGGTCATAATTATGCGTACTGAGTGAGAGACATACACTTCTCCTGATTTTGCAAAAAATAACTCCAATTTCGTCCCATGTTATTTTGTAACGAATTATATTCATATCTCCTATAATATTGTGCACAGCAGACAAATACATATGACTTGGAAAGCATTACATTTCACAAAAGTTAAAAGCATATTATGCGAAGCTCAAAAAAACAGCCGAAATGTTTTCGTGTTCGTGAAGATGACAGGTTAACTAAATTTTCGCTCGGTCAAAGTCAGTTTTGACCGATCTCTAATGCTTAAATTTGTACAAATAACGTGAAGAACACATATTTTCAGACTACTCCATGATTCTCCCGTTGTACTAATAATGACATCACCACATATTGCCTCAGAATACGTCATGTTACTATAACATTGCCTGAGTCATATTTTTCTCCAAAAATAGGTTTATGTGTTCTGCATTTATTTTCGAAATCAACTTACCAATGAAAAAATGACTCAATAAATTTTCAATATATGACGTTCAATAAAACGTTTGACTTTTATTTAAGATAATGGCAATTTTTCTCTTCTTCTCAAATCTCCGAAAAATGACTTAGTAGGAAAGAAGTTAGTAGCGTGAGGTAAAAGTGTTTTGGGGGGAAATCCCTAAATGGCGAAATTGGCCAACACACAAATAAAAATTTAGTTGTTGAGCATCCACGTTCATGCCAAACACAAGTACAAGAGCAAATACTTTTTTCCTGTACAAAAATTAACGTTCAGTATTTCAAAAAAGAAAGGAAAACCAACCAGTATTTGCTGTGGAGGATTAGTAATATTTCTCTTAATAATACTTTTAATAATTGTCCTTGATAAGATTTGTCAACATTCTGTTGGCTACACTATTGTTGATAGCAATATGTTGATAAGATTATTGTTGGTAAGATTTTAAATTGTTGCATAGCTACCTGTTGGTTAAGATAACGCGGAAATCAATAAGTGGCATGGGAGGTTAAATATCGACTTCAATATCTTGGTGCATCTCAAGAACATCGGAGCATGTTCAAAAATAGAAGGAGGGATAACGGTAAAACAATTCTTAATGTGAGACACTAAGCTTTTGCTTATCCATTGCTTGTCCATGGAAAATGTGTGTGTGGCAGGAGGGGAGGATGGGGGCACGCAGATCTTGAAATCCATTAGCATGCAAAAGGAACATAAAATGATCGACGTCATAACGTACCCATTTCCCTGATCTTCGTCATGTGTATAACTGGAGTCTTCGTCACAAGACAGCAATCTAGAAGAGCTTCCTGGCTGCAAACGACTACATCCATTCTTGTTGGGATTTTTCTCGTGGTATGGCAGAGGAAAAATATCTTCGTGCCCGTCAGCTTCGGTCTTCAGGTTTCCTAATATACATAAGACACATCAAAATGGGTAGTTTTCAATGCAGGTTTTTCCAAATCGTATATCTATTGCACTTAATACAAATAACTGATAAGTGGCGTAGCCAGAATTTTCTGTAAGGGGTTAAAAGGGACGGTGAGCCATGACTGTCGCTTAAACATTATAATGTAAGTAAAACATGATGTTTTGTGGGGCCAAAAAATTTTCCAGGTGGAGTAAGTCTTCAATAGTTTAACTTTGACGTGGATTTAGCATTTACATAAACTTTTCCGACTGCTGGGCATCTAGAAACAACAAAACATTATAAGATTTCACACCTTCATCATCTGGAACGTTAGGAATAAGAAAAGGCTGCTTCACAATCGATGATTGTCTCAAATTATCCATGATTCTTGCACTGTTACCGTTGCTGCTACTGTTTGAAGGGACTGGGGAGAGCGACGTGAATTCCACATGTTTGAGTAAGTGATTCTTCAATGGACGTTTTGACGACAGTTGATTAAGTGAATTCTTATGAACAATAGCAGATCGTATTTCGCTACAAGTACCTGGGAAATATCAACACACATGAGATAAATGAGTGATGTTGGAGCATTAGAGAGGAGTGCTAGCACAAGGGAAATAAAGACTCGCATGAGAGAAGGAGTGAGCTAGTTTCATTTTGAAAGAGAAATGCTGGCACATGGAAAATAGATACACACATTAGACAAGAAGTGATTAAAGTCATATCGAGAGGGGAATGTTGACATATGAGAAATAAAGACAAGTGTTAGACAAGGAGTAAATAAGGTCATTTTGAGAGAGGAATGTTGACACATGGGAAATAAAGACCGGTGTGAGATAAGGAGTGAATAGGGCCATTTTGAGAGAGGAATACTAGCACATGGGAAATAAATACACACATTAGGTAAGGAGTGACTTAAGTTCCTTTTGAAAGAGGTATCGGAATGGTAGTGCAAGATGAACGAGTTAGAGAAGTGGACGATCATTTTGACAGGAGATGAAAATTAATCATTAAGGGGGACACTTAACGCTCAATAAAAGAGATTGTATAAAGAAATTTCTGAACTATTCCATACCTTTACTTGTCGTACTGGAAACCCTAGAACGCATATCGAACGTCTGCCAGGAATCATTTATGGAGTCGTTAACATAACCAGTCTGGCTCGACCAATCAGAATCGGCGTACATGTGACGAAACGACGTAGTCTTTCGCCTCCGTTGCTTTATTCGTATCCTCTCTTTCTTTTGGCGCAACATTTTACCGAGTGATTTGAAAGAGAGAGCCACTGATCGAACGATACTGGATGCCTAAAGAAGTATGATGTAATTAGTAATGTGACTTAATATCAAAGTGCTTCATTTGACATTGTCACTTGACAATGTAATAATATTACCACGTGACAATGTAATAGTCGACGAAAACAAATATTCTTTTAGGACAAGAAGAGTTTCTTTCAAACTCTCTACGACAATTTATAAAAAATATATCAACTAGCTCATAAATATCTTTAAAAGGAACAGATTTACTTTCATTTCGATTATCTTGACAGAAAGTGTTCATACAATTTCAGACAACAAGGTCACCTTACTTATTAAACTACTTTGGAAGGGAATGATTTATCTTAATATCAAGTTTTTACATGATTTTAGACGACAAGATTACCTTACTCCCCGAGCTACTTCTGAAGGAAAAATTTACTTTAATTTATATAATCTTGATATCAAGTATCTATATGAACTCGAACAGGCTTACCCTTTCTAAACTATTTTGGAAAGAACATATTTACTTTGATTTCTGTTATCTCGACATCAAGTATTCATATGATCTCAGACAGCAAAGTTACCCTACTTTCTAAACTACCTTAGAAGACACAATGAACTTGATACTCGACCGAAGATCTCCAAAGAAAAACTACAATCACTTCAATAGGGACAAATGGTAGAACAATGTCAACAATATCTAGTTTAAAGATACCGCGATCTAATAACACTCCAAAACGAAATACTTCGTGTAGATCTTTGTAATTCACTCAATCAGCCACTCGCCACACGTGCTGTTACACAACACTATGTTGTAACCAACATCGTTAAAAGGGAAAAGAGTATTTTAAAAAATTAATCGACATAATATTAACAAAAACCATGACCAGCCGACAATTTAAAAAAGTATAATATAAAACAAATTCCGAAGAAACAAGACATCTTGAGATTGCAAAATATGAATCAAAACAAGACGAGAAGTAAATGACTTTGAAATAAAGTCGAAAATTTACAGTTTACTTCTCGTCTTGTTTTGATTCATATTTTGCAATCTCAAGATGTCTTGTTTCTTCGGAATTTGTTTTATATTATAATATTAACAAAAAATGACCAAATTCTCAAATTGCTTTCAAGTATCGCATACTACCAACATAACCTTTAAATACTTTTCAAATATTGTATCAGATTTTTCTTTAAGAATTAATAATTACAGATTAATTACACAAGAACAGTAAAGGTTTGGTTGGCTCCTGAAAAATTTAAATCATTTCGAAGGAGACTTGGAACAAAACTGTTTGTAAATTTGAACAATAAGAATCTTTATTGCCAAGGAGATAACGACAGCTATAAAAGTTGATATGTTATGCTAAAAATTTAAGGACGCTACTTTCCAAAACATCAAGATGTACGTTTGGCTAAAATGTGGGTATTGTCGCAGAATTCACTGAGTTCGTCCAGAAAATTGATCTGCACTCTGATTCGGTTTGTTTTATGGAGTTTATTAGCAATGAACAATCTACACAATCTCCCCGACTATTACAAATTTGAGTCTATTTATATGTTTATATTTCGTGACTTACGTGCACTACTACAACATGAATTAATTAAGAGAGAAAATACTTAGGAAGTGTTAAGTATATACACCTTAATTTTTAATTATAATTTTGGCACACATAAAACTGTGCATGGGAACTTAAAATCTGGCATGCAATAAAAAATATAAATGAAATATCCTAAATTATACAACAGGTATAGTTAAATTCTCATTTTTAGAAATTCCGATTTAGTGACAAGCACAACTAAATAATTCTTTATAGAGTAAAAGTTATGCTTCTGCAGAAAATTTCACAGCTTGCATAGGAACAATGAAAGACTACCAAAAAGAAAAGTAAAGAATAATTAACAATGCAATGAACGCTTCTAGACGTCTAAAGAAACTGAGTTTTAAAAATATCTCATGATTCCCTCCTTCTAATACTAAAGGCGCTCCTATTTGAAATTCAGACCAGTGCTCTCACTTTTCAGGAATTATCCTTAAAATTAGGATTTACTAAATGTTTTAAGGATATTTTTAAGGATGTTTATACTTTAAATTAATATACACTTAATAACATTTAATTTTTCTTTACAAATACAACGTTGACAAACTTGAAAACAGCAAAAAAAGGAGGAAAACCCATGAAAACACTTTTTGAGCCTATGTGATCAGGCATTGTAGTAAATTTTACTAATTTAAGGAATTTAACGAAAATTTGAGGAATTTTTAAGCATTTTCTATGGAGTTAGGAAATTTGATTGTGATAGCACTGTTTCAGACCATACCAGCGTAAGCATGTGGCATAAAGCAGTCAATCAAAAAGTCATACAGGACTTTGGATTTTATTAATTTAAGAAAATCTTACGCATATCTAAGTTTGTTCATTACACAAGAGCTCATGAAACACATGGCTATTGTCATCCTTTTACGCTAGCTCAAGACAGATACAAAAGATATTGACTCTACTTCACACACCAGTCTCCACAAATACTATTTTGGATTAAGTGCGTACGAAGACAAAACAAAGACAAGTATGTTTTGTCTACAACTCTGTCATTCATTCATACACTTAAGTATAATCTGAGCAAATATAGAAACAGAAATAGTTTTTGTAACTACTATTAGTAACTAGTAAGGAGTATCTTGACTAGTTACTAACTGTAAGTGTGCAAGGCCATTTCAAAACTCCCAAAGGCAACACTTTATGCGCGAGAGTCTCGCACAGTATAATTTACTCATCTCACGATAATGAATGGGGTTATATAAAAAATCGCCTTCCAGCATCAAACACAGTAATTAGTACTTTCGTCGTGTGAAAACTTGTCTATAAACGAAAGATGTTAGTATGCTATTTGTAATCAGAATCTGTTAAAACCTTTTCAGTCTATTTCAAATACGACGGAAATACGGGGGGGGATGATGTATTGTTAAGTTCCCAAATTATTTGCAGTATCAGATGTAATTTCTTAACAACGACGGTAAATTCTACTGATGTCTCATATGTGATGTTCGAGTAAAATCAAATTTCGCGCGGAACACTTAACCATCTCCAAAGTAATGCTGAAACTTCTACAACAAAGAATCCTTTAAACAAAAGCATTGCTGACATTTGATGAATTTCGAGGGCAGGAAATAGCTTATTAACAAACCGACGCTGCTGCAATATTGGATGGTATTTTGCAAGATGTCGGCCTAATATCGCGAAATTTTTTCCCTTGGCAAATTGATTGTTATGTATCTCACAGCAGCTGACAGTAAACTCAGGGGACGTTATATGAATTTATGCAATGAATTATAGCAATGCTGTGAGTTGTTTATTTATAAAATGTTACAACACGAAACATGAATGTCGCGCGAAAATAACACGTCTTTCTTTAATAAATAAGAAAATATTTTCAAGTACAGTTATCAACATTGTTCCTAGAGACTTCAGCGAACTCGCGTAAACAAATAGTTCTGATAGGAAGTTTTGAGTTGAAATTTCAATTTAGGACGGTGTGAAATATCCCCAGCAAAGCTTTCTTGTTTACTTATCAAATGTTACAACTCGAATTTCGCCTGGAAAATACTTCGATTTCTTCGAATAATTAAACAAAAATGCCTTCGCAACCAGCCATTAAGGAGCCATTGTACCTGGAAGCTTTCTTTAAGTCTGAAAATTGTGAAGCAGAATCAATAAGGAGTAGGAAGTTTTCGACTGAAATTTCAACTCAGGAGGTGTCAAATTACCCCGGGAAACTTTAAATGGATCCGAGATAGTATTTACAAACTAGATAAGGTCTACAATTTGTATATTAGTCAACCAGTTGGAAAGCAATAATTGAGGTTTCTCACAAGATTAGCCTACCTAAAATTACGTGCATATTTGCTATGGGTTTTGAGAACACGCCAGACCAGAAATCTCGTAAAGTTAACGTCCTTCTATACCGCTTTTCTTAAACAAGATTGTGAGCACATGAAATAGTGCAAACATTTAAACCGTTAAATACAAGCAACTAGACAAAAATATGACGATTGCGGATATCCGCCAAAACGAGAAATTCAGTGAATCAATTAGACAGACACGCGGAAATGCATCAAACCAAGCAAAAGGATATACTCTAGAGACTTCTAAACGGCATAGGAAGTACATTATTACCTCGAGGCTTGAACCAGCTTGGAACACATAACACAGATGGGCATTCTTTCGAGTGATATTTATACCAAAACATTTATCGAAACCCCTCAGAGATTCCTGTGCACACAAAGCCACAATGTATAACGGCACTGTCAGGATCAATGCATGTCCACCAACTCTGGAAATCTTTAAAACTCCCTCTGTGATAACAAAGTCTACACGACGTGGTTCCGTATACCCTTTCTTTACACGCTTCACGCTTTCCAAAAGCAGCGATATGGACTGAACTTCGGACACTTGACAGTATCCCAAGTAGTCAACGATAAAATGCAGCTCTTGGTTTAACGTATTTTCGTCAATGGAACTTGTCCTGCTACGAAAAGATTCCTCAAGAAACGATTCTTCTGGGCTGTTAATATCGTTCTGCAGTTCCTTGCCATGTCCAGATGCCGAGCGCTTCGAGCTCCGATATGGTTTACTACCAAGAAATCTTCTAAGCTTCGGCAGCATTTTGACACCAGTTGAAATCGATAATTTTATTATGAGCAAAGTATAAATAGTATCTCACAGCCAGGTATGAAACTTGCAATATACAAAAGCACGTCAACTACACAAATACAAACATACAAGCAAGCATTCCTGGGCATAACATTCCTGAATATACGAAGAAGCTTATGAAACAGCTCGATGCGATTTAGGAAACGCAACTTGAATGAAACGACTTCTTTCAATGCGAAGTCTACCATTCAATCGCTGCTCTTACTATAAACAATTTACGACCCGCATTGTCGTAGAATTCAATAACAACAAGTCTGGCGCTCTTTGTTCTTATTGGTCGACTGTTTTGCATCTCATTATGTCAGCATGCGACGAACACGTGCAAGTTAGCAGAATATTAGAAGCCTTGTTAGGATGAATATATTTTTCTGACAAAATATGAGGCGTTTTTTAAGCGAACAATTTTGTGACTTTCATTCAAGTGAGTAGTGCTTATCTTTTCTCGATGGGTCACTTCCGAGATCAAACATTGCGTCGAATGTGCACTTAACTGTGTATACACAAATCAAGCGCGCGCTGCACGCTTAAGATTGCTCAGCCAGCATTGAATATTTTAATGTAACAATACAACATTGAGCATTATCAATCGAATGCAGAAATATCATGGCAATAAAATTTTGGGCAACAATATCGCAAAAGATATTCCGATGTTAATTTGAAACATGTTTAATTTTGAAAACACTCTTAAGCTCTTAGGCAAGCACGAAAAGTTTGTTATATTGTATGTGTGTGTCGTTGCACGTGTTTGGAATATTGGAATGATTGGCATGGCCGAATTCCATGGGAAAATGCGACATCGAGCGTACAATATCATATAGCGATGACAGATAATTCACAACAACACAACACTTTTTTACTTTATTGTAGCATCGCTTGAAATAGGGAATAAAATATTTCAACTAGTTGTCGGAAGCATCATTTTATGGCGTGATAATGTAGTTTTCAAAATTCGTGAGACCAAACAATATGCAAATAACTGCTTAGAGCGCACGACAACGAATAACAGATAGCAAATCCGCTATTGTATTTTGCTACCTGGAATCTTTACTAAAGGTTGATTTCCATTCAGTCGAAATTGTCGCGCGATCGACTTTTTGCGATCACCTTCTTTTGAATTGTATGCAGCAGTATGAAACTGTTCTGGTCGAGAGCTTACAATTGAAAAGAAAGTGATCGGAAAAAGTCGATCGCGCCACAATTTGCACAGAATGGAAATCAGCCTTTATTTATTAATTCATCTTAAGTTGAAGTTCGCTTCTGGATAAAAGGAGATGTTTAAAACGCTTCGGGGGGAAATAAGTCCTAAGTTATCCCCAAGGGTCCACATTCATATTTTAACAATGGTGAAATTTAGCCAAGAATCATCAAGTTGACTACATAAACATATTCAAATATCATGAATAAAAGCATGTCTGGGCATCACACATTACTTTTGGATATCAAATCGACAAAAACATGTTTTTACTGGCAACATGACAAACTAGTCGATTACGAGTGCGTCAAATATTCCTAAATAAAGTATAAACACAATAATATTTACATGTGTTAAAATGTCTACAAAATGTGATGACGTGCATTGGGGATGAATGAGTAACAAAAACGAGATCAGTCTTCACAATAACAAGAAAAATACAAAAACTAAGACAATGTGTGTCGGTGCAGGTAGTGATGAATGGGTAAAAAAGAAAGAGAACAGCCTTGTGGTGAATTTCGTTCAATTCCCACTATCAATTTGAGGAAGCTCGATATGAATAATGAAGTTAACTGATCGTGGTTTAATTTTCAGATCTCAAAATCACCTCATTCACATCACGAAATTCTTCAACAACCTACTTGTTGAAGAATTTCGTGATGTGAATGAGGTGATTTTGAGATCTGAAAATTAAATTCCTCACGCCTACTTGTCAGCTCTCCTCAAAATTAACATCACAATTTCTCTGATCTATAACTTTACTGGAATGTGTTAACGTCACAACACACTCCCCCTAAATGTATGTTATTTAAAATAAAATTTTAATCTTTTTAATCTTTTCTTGTTCACGTAAACGTAAATAATGAATAATAAGGTTTATCTCATACTTTATCATTATCTTCATATGAAAGTATTCCTTGAGACTTTTTGTCTCCCTGAACTGCCGCTACCCATTTAGGTCTGAAATCTCTTGCTTATGGGTTTAACTCGACTTGTTTCTCTACATCGCAATGTGATTCCATTGGATAGAGAAATTGTATTTGTCTTTCCAGATATATCTTACCAACACGACGCCTGCCTGCCCTCACTACTACATCTCGACCAAATATAAGGTCAGTGACTACTCCGATCTTTCAATTTCCACGGTTCTTTTCTTCTCTCTTTCCTTCTTTCAATTGCATATGCTTTACCTCTACCTCTTAAATCGTGTATTTCTCTAAGGCCTGTTTCAAACGTCGAACTTTACATGCACCGAACGCATTAAAAACAAAACAAAATTAGATAAACTTCCTCATTATCTTTTGCTTTACATGCGTTCGGTTCATGTAAAGTTCGAAATTTGAGCTAGGCCTAAGTGCCTTCATATATTCTTTTCCCCAACGCAGCCAGATGGAATCTTTACACTTTTTTACGCTCTCTTTCTAAGATCGATGTCTATGATTTCTTCACTTGGCATTTCCAAAAGATAATTTACCTTTCCCCATATATCATGATATTTGGTGTAATCAACGGTAGCTGTAAATCATTTTCACAGTACTTTAACGGTCGATTATTTAATACTGTCTGCATGTCTGACATCACATATTGTAACTCTCTGTCTAAGCCCCTACGACTTTGTAAAATGAATTCTTCACTGACCCAACTATTCTCTCAAATAATCTCAAATTGAACTGCAATCTAAATTGATGATCCTATAGAAAGCCATGAAATTTTTCATCCTTTGTGTCTTTCTTGATCCACTTGGATGCAGCGTGGAAAGTTTTTCCATTAACTTGGGCCGACCACGATCAGAACAAATCTCTTCAAACTTGTCAAAGAATAGTTCACAACAAGGATCTGGTAACAGCTCAACATGAAGCCCTCTCGTCAGGGCACAGGTGCATATAAGGATGCAAGACTTTCGTTCATCTTTCTGTGACGGTCTACACCTACTATTTTGAACGGTGTTGTGCCTTTGGTTCTCTCACTGGAAAGATTACCGGCAAGTGGGGTCGATTCTGACACTGCATGAAACTCTTGCATCTGTAACAATGATGCAATACCTTCTTTGCAAAGTATCTTAACTTTGGAATCCAACATGCATACGTTGAGAACTTTACTCATGATACGTTTGACTCCCTCGATGAGCTCGTCTTACAAGTACAACCATCTCCGATGATAAATGTTTTGCTGGAAGATACATACATCGGATATTCTCCTTGGATTTTTCCCTTCCACACATAAATTCCATCTTGATTTTTTTTAAGATTGAGATTGAGATTGACTAAGTTGTCAATTACTGAAGCATTTACAACATGCTAGAACTCGTACAGTTATGGAGAGGACAAAATTTTCCAGCATACCATCAATGAAATCAATTTCTTTGGAATGGTTACCCTCATTAGTTCTTTCACCATTCGACTTTCTGAGTCTGAGATCTCGCTCGGCTTGATTTATACTTGCTTCGGCCACTTATATCAAGCTCATGCACTCAACCAACTGGGACCTTTCATCCAGGTTTCGTTGATCTGCAAATGTTTCAGTGTACCGCTACTACCAATGTTTGCAGGATTTTCGTAGGTTGGAACGTACTTTCACTTCATTTGTTTCTCATTAACTTTTTTCGCACGATTCAAAACAAACTTCATGTAGTTGCCTCCTCCGTTTATCCATTGCAGTCACACGGTTAAATCATGCAGTCTAAATGTAAAAACTTTTAACAGCGAGATAACTAAGGACTTTATACCAAATTGGAAACCATATGACATCTTACATGTTTCAATCTTGGATAAGTTATATCACGTTTTGGCACGACATCTAAAGATGCTCGCATTGGAAAAACCATGGATGTAAATTGCTGTAGTCTCAACTCTTTTTCGAGGGATGCTTCTTGGAAAATTTAACTCACTTGGCAAACTGCTCAACCATTTCTCCCAATGCTTTTTGAGCGTTCAGGCAACTGGGCATCCCATGTGATTTTCCAAACATTTCAAACTTTTGTTTTGGTTGCGACATAGACAACGTACTTTCATGCTTGTTCAATCCCAGTCGGAGAATTTTAGTTTCCGAAGGCTTAGTTCCTAAAGCATCTTCATCCCAGGTAGACTCCCCTTCCTCTACGTTATCCTTTCAAGTGCGACCAAGTTAGAATACCACTTGTGCCACAAAAATTGTCCCTTGCTGAGAATCTCTTTTCAACACTTTGGACATTGCTCTGCAAATTTCTCTTATATGAACATTTAAAGTTCCTCCAAGTAAAAATGGGTTCAGACTAAGTTGGAACATCAATCGAGTCATACGATGTACGACTATCTTTTGTGTTGCAGATCGTTTATACATAAGAATCTCATTATGTCTCGATCAATCTCTCTGATAACTATTTGTAAGAATGCCTGTTTGATATCGCCTGTTGAAAGAAGCTTTCTTATTCGACTACGCAGGATTACATCTAAGATTCTTCTCAGCAGTGGTGGTCGTTAACGTCAGTATCAAAAACGATCCTTACTTTAGTAGACTTGGCTTTCTCATTTACGACATATTTTTGCGGAAGATAATATTTGCGACCTCCTCGTGGTTTCTAAAGCGCGATTTCAACCACTCATCTTCTTCCAATTGATTTACTATGACGAGCTTTCATCATTTCAGGCTGTTTCTCCAACGGGTTTGTCAAGGACTGAAACCTCCACTTGGCAATTCTGGGTGATTAGACTTCCATGGAAGCGATATTTCATACTAACCATTTTCACGCATAGCTAACTGTTCCAACCGGTGGTACATGCATTGAGTGTAACATGGTATGCTCCCGTGGTGTTGTACTACATAAAGTTGATTAGTTATGCAAGGAAGAATAACATGGAGTTCAACGTATTTCCAGTGTTTTCTGGTTCAGCAACGTGTCCAATATTCCCAGTATTTTTCAGCATTGTTTTTCAAACGATCATTAGATACAAATGAGTGGAAAAAAATCAGTGGCTCTCTTGGAATATAAGATAGAGTGATGGAATGCTTTTTCTCTAAAGCTGCTTGTGTATCAAAATTAACA